AGAGAACAGGCATCTCAGGTAAGCCAACACCCATTCTCCAATGTTGGTGGAGATAGCATCCAGGAGTGGGACATACCAAACCTGGACTGTCCTTATGGGTGGGTCATTGTCCGGGCCAAAGTCCCCTGGGTCTCATGAACTCATTGCAAAATCCGCCTGCCAAATGCTGCATCTGCAAACGCATAACTGTCAATCTTGTAATGGCAGATAAATGGCAACGGAGAGGCCCAGGTGGCGGCTCGACAGACTCGAAGCCTGCATAGTCCAAGCTGCCGAAGTGGTGCACTCCTCATGGAGTGAGCTGAGATACAACCTGGAAGAGGCAGAGACTGTTAAGTCATAGGCCTTAGCAATGTAGGCACATATGCAACGACCCAAAGATGAAGGAGTTGCTTTGTGCCCCATGGAGGTTGGCTGATAGGAGACAAAGAACGCTTCCGTGCATCTCAGTGAAGGTATCTGACTGAGGTAAATGCGAAGCGCCCTCCTAATGTCAAGTTTGTGCCACTGTCTTTCTAGTCAGTGAACTGGTGACTGGCAAAAGTTTGGTAGGACCAACTCCTAAGCCCGGTGGAACTTTGTGTTAACTTTGGGAATAAAAGAAGGGCCGAGTCTCAAAATTATCCTGTCAGAATCGAAAATGCAAGTCTTTCCTCACCAACAAGGCTGCCAGTTCTGAGATTCTCCTGGCAGAGATGATAGCCACCAGGAAGACACCTTGGGAGAAAGGTAATGAAGACAGGTGTTCCTCAAGGGCTTGAATAGGGGGGGCCTTGCGGGCAAGCAGCACTTTGGTCAAGTCCCATGTCGGATATCGATGTACGACTGGAGGGCGAAGGTTAGTAGCTCCTTGTAGAAAACGATGAACCAAAGGTTGGTGAGCTAAGGATGTGAATTCTCCACAGTGAAGAACAGAAGAAAGGACAGCTATCTGTTGCTGGAGAATATTAGATGACAGGCCACTGTCCAAGCCCTCCTGAAGAAAGTCTAGCACCCAATGGATTGGTGCTTGCAATTGAATGATGTCCTTGCTGGAACACCAGTGACAAAAAACCTTCCAAGTGGTGTTGTAGATGCAGTTGGTCGACAGACGTCTTGATGCTTGGATCATATCGATGACATGAGAGGACAGACTGACCATGATCAGGGCCCTCCACTCAATTTCCAGGCAGTCAAACTGAGCCACTGGAATTAGTCCTAAAAAACCAGAAAAATAATAAAACCCCAGGACCAGACAGAATACCGGTGGAGCTATACAAATATAATAAAATAATATTGGAAGAGCTGGGAGTGGAAATATTTAACGAAGTTTTAGGAGAAGCCAAGATACCTGAATCATGGACAGAAGCAATAATATCGCTAATACCAAAAGAAGAAACCAACCTACAAGAAATTCTAAATTACAGGCCAATTTNATGTTGCAACAGGAAAAAGACAAGGAAGTGACACTGCAGATGATTATGCAAGGAATACAAAAATACAAGTAAGAACAGAGAATATAGAAAAGCAGAGCGCATTGAAAAGAGAATAAAAAATATAGAACAGAGAACAAAAAACAGGGAAAACATAAAAAAAATGAGAACATTCACCAAATGATGATGAAATATAAGAAAATTTGAGTTATTGATAGCAGATTGAGTGTGGTTGAAAAGATAACAGTGGAATACTGGGATTGGAGATTGATAAATCAGAATTCTACCTTAGATTTCAAAACGTAGAAGGAGAAAATTTGGCAGAAATAATAATAGAAATTCTGGCAGACATCTTGGAGATAACCAAAGAGAAGATGATGGATGGTATAAATGAGGTGTTTCTATACAAGATATGCAGTGAGAAACAAATTCCCAAGAGAAGTTTATATAAGATTTACTAAGAAAGCAATTGAGACACAAATATTACAGAAGGCAAGAGACAAAAAACTGGAATATAAAGATAAGGAGATTGTGGTTTTGAAGCAAGTACCAAGAAGAATGAGAGATGAGAAGAGAATACCAATTTTTGACTAAAATCTTACTTAAAAAGGTGTTATATATGGCTGATACCAGAAGGTTTCCTGTTTGTATGGCAAAGACAAAGATACAGAATAGATTCAACTGAGAAAGCAGAACTATTCTATTCAGAACATCTGAGGGGGAAGGATGAAGAGACAAGAAAAGAATCACGACTAATGGAACTCCAAGAGGAGTGCATAGTTGTGACTGAGAAAGAAGAAGGTGCGGTAGGCGACATTGACCTAAGAGAACAACGGGAACCGAGATCTAGTAGAGCAATAAATCTTTTTATAAAGTATAAATATGGAAGAGAAAAAAATGATTACAATCAATATAAATGGATTCAATTCAGCTATTAAAAGAAGGAAAACATTTTATAAATTAGAGAAATTAAAATTGGATATAATCTACCTACAAGAAGTACATATTAAAAAGCAGCATGAACAAATATTGGTGCAGACAGAATTAGGGAAAATATTTACTCCATTGCCAAGATGTAAGAAAAGAGGAGTGGTTTTGTATATTAAGGATACAATTCCAGCGGAACAAATCTACACAGATGATGATAAAAGAATCTTGACGGTGGAAATTATGGAAATAAGAAAATACTTTTAATAGCAATTTATGCTCCTAATGACAACCAAGATGAATTTTATAGAAAATTACACATGACAACAATTGAGCTTGACTATGTTAACATTTGTATGATGGGAGATTTTAATGAAATTGTAGATCAGAATATGGACTATAAAACATAAAAAACAACAAAACTGAATAGAAAGACTCTTCCAAAATCTTTTTTTAAAATGACTGATGAAATAGATTTAAAAGATGGAGAGAAAGAAATCCCACAAAGAGACAATATACCTTCTACTCAAATAAACATTCACCATGGTCCAGAATAGATATGATATGGATTTCAACGGAATTGATTTGTAATATACAGGAAATTGACATAGAAACAAGTACTTGGGCAGACCACAATCCAATGACAATTAAATGGAAAGGACAAAGGAGAAGATTTAGATCGATGCTAAACAACACTATATTAAAAGAAAAGTACTTTGTACAGAAAATGGAGAAAGAACTGGCATATTTCTCTAAAGAAAACAGAAAAGAAGAAACATCAATGCAGAATCTTTGGGATACAATGAAGGTCTACGCCAGAGGCTTGATAATAGACTATACAAGGAAAAGAAATACAAACAAAAGACAAGCCTTTAAAATACTAGATGATGACTACAAGAGATTTGAAAAAGAGTTACAGAAATCTCCACAAAAAAGGACATTAAAATAAAAATGNAAAAAAAAAAAAAAAAGGAATAGGTTGTACCTGGCTCAATATTAGAGAGATTTAGGTGTCCTAGTGCAGGGGTCCCCAACCCCTGGGCTGTGGCCTATTCACAACTGACAGTCACATGTGCACACATGCACAGCTCAACTTGTGCAAGTTGAGCTGTGAATGCATGTGCCCCAGTCCAACACTCGCATGGTGCAGTTCCCCTCTCTCTCCTGCCAGGCCGCTAAGCCATAACCACCATTTAAATATCAGTCAGTAGTATGATGCAGCTGTCAAAAAGTCAATGCAGTATTAGGCTGCATCAACAGAGAGTTAACATCAAGATGACAAGAAGTGACAGTAAGTGTTATATACTGCACTACTAAGGCCACACTTGCCATACTGCATTCAGTTCTGGATTTCACAATACAAAAAGTACTAGAAATACTAGAAAGAGTGAAGAGATAAGGGGTCTGAAGGCTAAACTGCGTGATGAACAGTTAAGGAAACTAGGTATGTCTACGGATGACACAATAGCTGTCTTTCAGTACTTGAGGGGTTGTCACAGGAAAGAGAGGGTTGACTCATTCTCCAAAGCACCCGAGGACAGGACAAGAAGTAATAGGCGTAAGTTCATAAAAGACATATCCAACCTGGGACTAACAAGAAATTTCCTGACAGTGAGAATAATCATTCAATGGAACAGCTTGTCTCCTGGAATTGTAATAGGTGTTTGACTAGAAGCCCTCCAAGGTCCCTCTTAGCCCTGATTCTATGATTTTATAAAATTATTTTGGGAAATGAAATAAAAAATTCAGCTTCCCCCAGAAGTTAGTAAAGCTGTACATGTACACCCTAAGGATGAACAACTTTTTGCTGAGAAAAATAATCAACATGGAGTAGGAGAAATGGAAGGTTCTGATGGATAGAACAATTTTTCAATGCAAAAAAGGCATAACACATATCCAGATTGGGCTGATTTTTTTTTACACAGAAGTTAACTAAGATAACAATCATAGCTATCATAATTTTGCCATATGAGAGACCAATATTTCCAATATTATGTTACATTATACATTATATTATAATATTATGTAATAGAGAGAGCTATATGAGTGTTATCACATAATATGAATGTTGGTAATGCCCATAACTATGAAGAGGTTGTCAAGCATCCACATCACACTCACATGATGTGTTGTGTGCATGTGCATGCTTTGTGATGGTGGGAAGTGCTTTATAGGCCTTAAGCAACCTTTCCAAGGATATTAAGCTGAACAATTATTAAGTTGCCAGCCATTAAGCAAGGACTTATATAGAAAAATATTTTTTTTAAAGAAAGGTCAACTTAACATAATATAAATTATATTCAATGGCAAAGGATAACCTTAGTTTTATACTATAAAATTACATAATTAATACATCCATGCATCCATGTTGATAGATATATACAAAATTATTTTAAATGTGTTGTAGCAGATTTTAAAAAGTTAGAAAATGAGGGGAACAGTAAAAACAAGGAATAGTTTCTACAAACAAGGCCAGGAAAAAAGGGAATTGAGCTTTCCTAAAAGGAAAGAAAGAAACATGCATGTGAGAAGATCTAGTTAAGGCAAGTACAGCAGAAACACAGTTACTGAATCAATTATAAGTAAATACAGTATGCTATAACTTATTTTTGTGGTGCAACTCATGTTAATTTGATTGCACTTATCTTAATGAGCACTTACCAACTTTGTACTAGCTTAACAGAAGGCCTATTCAACAAGTTCTCAGGCAACAAATTTACTTCTCTCATTGTATTAGCAAGTCGCACAGGAAGCTCTTTTCTCAGGAACATGTATGATGTTTTCTCACATGCATTATCACGCCCTGTGGAAAGAAAAGAATTTGTTTTCATGTCCTTGAAACATTCTAAGATAATAAAAATAAGATATTAAAATATGATTTATCAGCACTTTATGATTATAAGTTTTCTTCTTGGTTACTAAATATGATTTAAATCTGATAATAAGAATTCTATATCACGCTTAACATCATTCATGGCTATGGCTCTTTTATTACAGCTTCTTTTGTTACACTAATTATGCCATTTTGTAAAGGATGAAGATCTGGAAAATATAATGAACTTCAATGATTAAAATCTGATATGTAAAATATAAACATACATTGCAATTCCATCCAAATTATGAACTACAACAAAATCATCAGCTATAAGAATTTCTTACCATATATCACATATCATAATTATTAAAGGTTTAAAGGCTTCACCTCTCCAGCAATGACCAACTCAAGAAGTGGGGTGCTCAGCTCTGATTCTCAGCCAAGGAATCTGTGTTGCCTGATAATAGCAATAGTGCTTTACAGCCCTATCTAAGCTGTGCACAGTCAGCATATTTCCCCCAACAATCTGGGTCTTCATTTTACCAACCTCAGAAGGATGGAAGGTGGAGTCAACCTTCAGTTTGTGAGATTCAAACTGCTGAACTACTGGTAGAATTAGCCTGTGATTAGAATGCAGTATTGCAGGCTAAGATGAGGCATTGTGTCACTTAATGCAATGATTAAGACAACCGAGTGCAATAACACAGCCACAATGCTCTGAAATTCTCATCCTGTGAATAAAAATTTTTAATAGACTATTTCCTATTTAATGTACAAATGGGATCACAAGAAGGTCTTCTCTTGAAATTCTCAAAATCTAGATAAACTCACTTAGGATAATGCAATCTTTAATTAGCTTCCATTTGCTTCTAATGAAGATTAGATCCAACATCATATATTGTTTATATACTTTCATCTATGTTAATTCACATTCAGGATATCACTCTAATACTTAATAATAAATCTATGGTTCAAATTATTTTTTCCAAAACAAATATTAAAAGATTTTAATAGTACAGTATTTGATTTTGTGTCTATGCAGATGGTTTTGTATGTGGATAGTTTTAGAAATGGACAGATGGGTTAATTCATTAATCAATTTCTCTACAATGATAGTTAGACTAGTATCACAGTACAAACACTCATATATATCAACAAACTCCATGTACTTCCGCATGTTTGCTCTAGGATAAACCAATGGTTCTGGGTTGGAAAAGAATGTGAGAAAAGAAAATCTACTTTCTGAAAAAAAAGTAGTCTTAAAATGCTAGGGACACTTCAGAAAGTTAGATTTCCTAAATTATTTCCACTGAAATTAATGATAATTTATTAATTAAGAAGGGACATGGTAGCTCAGTGACTAAGACACTGAGCTTGTCGATCAGAAGGTCAGCAGTTCAGTGGTTCAAATCCCTAGTGCTAATGGAGTGAGCTCCTGTTACTTGTCCCAGCTTCTGCCAACCTAGCAGTTCAAAAGCATGTAAAAATGCAAGTAGAAAAATAGGGACCACCTTTGGTGGGAAGGTAAAAGCGTTCTATGCGCTTTTGGTGTTGAATCATGCCGGCCACATGACCACAGAGACATCTTCAGACAGCACTGGTTCTTTGGCTTTGAAACGGAGATGAGCACCACCCCCTAGAGTGGGA